ATTTATATTTTTTTTCTATGGTCTCCTACAGTGGGAATTGACCCGTATGTGGTCTGGTTCAAGGTGTTTTCTGGTTATTGGGAGTATTCAAGTTTTTATACTCGTTGGTTTTATTCGAATTACCCATGTCCAAGGCTAAGTATAGAACAATGAGCATGACACACTTATGGGATAGAGTTGAGTAAAGGTTTGTATTATTATTCGAGATTTATTTGACAAAGGTTATTTTCAGAGTACAATGTGTAATGTAGTTTCGAACTACATTGTTTAATTGATATAGTAATGTTAATTATTATATTATACTCTATATTCTGATATGTGGTGATTACTCAGCTTTTTGCTGACGTGTGTGTTGTTTTATTGTGCTATTTGTATTTGCGGCCATGTCTTTTTCTTATGGTGGCCCTGCGACGATCTATTTTGGAATTTGTCCTTAATGGTGAGCAGTCAAGTTTGTCTAAACAGGTTTATTAAGTGATCGTAGCTAAAGGAGTTCAAGTGTTTCGATTAGTATGCTGTCATGAGTTTGTAAAGTTGTATAAATAGCTAACCTATAGATTTATTGGTTGTAATTACTGGGATTTTTGTAAGCCTTAACGCTCAACAGGTTGATGAGTGTGGCGGTAATACCTCCGATTTAGGTGTATGCTTCCGCAAATTTTATTTAAAGGTTGTTAATTTTTCCTTTATTTAATGTTTATTATTAGCTAGTAAATCGGGGGTGTTACAAAATCTACCCAAAACCCGCCCAAAATCGGGCTGGGCCAACGGGTCGGGCTAACTTTGATCACCTCTAACAATAAGTGATAAGGCCCCTATTTGTTAATTTTCCCCTAGGCCCCTAAAATGTCATAAACGACCATGGCTTTAACACCTACCGACTAAAATTCTGCTCAATACCCGCCCAAAATTGGGCTAGGCCAACGGGCCGGGCTAATTTTGATCACCTCTACCACTAAGTGATAAGGGTCCCTCACTAGTAGAAAATAGTTATGGGAAGCCTCCAACGGGGAGCGATTATTAAAATCCGCTTTGAAATCCCTGCAAAAACCCACCCAAAAAAAAACATTAGACATCAAATGGCAAGCGGTTTGGGTTTGAACCGCTCCCATAAATGTAATTGAAGCGGTTCAGACAATGAAATACTCCCCATTCGCTAAAAAACCCTAACATTTCTCTCCCCTCCTTATTTCTTACGCCTTCTTTTTATTCTCTCTCCTCTCTCCTCTTTCCCCTCATTTCCCACGCCACTCCATTTCTCACGGCCCTTCTTCTATCTCATCTACTCCATTTCTCACGACCCTTCTTCTTGTGAAACGCTAAACATCGCCCGCAATTTACCATATAAAGCCCACAAATATGATATGGTTTGACCATTATGCCCTTTTTCTAAAATTAAAATAATCTCGGTGTAAAAAATGTGGAGCCGTACTGGCTCGCCGGGGGAGACCGGAGGGCAGGCCGGAGATGCGGGGGACGCCGGAGGTACGTCGTCGTCGACGGAAAACGAGGTAAGTCACCGTTAAAATTCACGGTTTACCGTCGGAGTGGCTCCGGCGCCTAGGGTGGACGCCCAAACCGTAGCCTGGACGTCCAAGCCAGACGCCAGAACCACCAGAGTGACGTCCAGCCCAGACGCCCAGACCACCAGACTGGCGTCCTGGGCAGACGCCACTACACTGGGTGAGGCGGCCCTGCCAAGCGCCAGTCCAGTGGCTGTGGAAGCCCTGGCAGACGCCACCTTTAATAATTAATTTTTTTTTTTCTTTTTTGATTTTATTGTTGTTTTTTATTTAATTTTTTTGTAAAAAAAAAAATCGAAAATGATTTTTAAAAAAAAATTCGAAATGGGTTTTTTTTAAATTAAATTTGAAAATTCGAAATAGGTTTTTTTAAAATTAAATTTGAAAATTCGAAATGGTATATTTTTAAATTTAGTTTGAAAATTCGAATTGGGTTTTTATAAAAATTAAGTTTGATTATATATAATTATGTTTTTTTTTGTGTTAATTCTGTGTAAATATAGAAATTAAATGTATTATCCGTTAAATGTATTTATTGTAATATATAATTGATGCAGGAATATGGTGGAGACGGAAATGATTACAGTGGGATATTTGGACATGATGGTCCATTCGAAGAAGCTCAACAGGCGATTGATTGGGCAAAAGAGGTTGCAATTGCAGCTGGATTTTGCTTGGTAGTAGAAACTCATAAATCTCAACGGGATGGTAGAATGGATCGCATTTTTAGATGTGACCGTTATCGCAAAAGAGAAGAAAGAGATTTTCGTACAGCCACTCGGTTTGATACAAAGCGGAAAGGTTGTGGGTGTGAGTTCAGAGTAAAGGTTCGACAACTACGGAGTCGTGACGGTTGGGAAGTGATTGGTTACTCTAAATGGGGGTATCACAACCATGAGATGATAGTATATGAAGAGGGTCATCGACAACTGAGCGGCTTAAGTCCTGCTGCGAAACTAGTTGTGAAAGAAATGAGTGATGCTCAAGTGAAGCCTGCTAAAATATTAGCATCTGTGTTAGAGAAATTTCCAGAAGACCATCCAAACCGAAGACACATCTACAACGTCAGACAGCAACTTAGGTTTGAACGGTCAGAGGGAAGGAACCCTATACAGCAGCTGCTACACCAGGCACAATCACGTGGTTACCTTTTCTGGTTTGATTCTGATGAAGATACAGCGGAGGTGACTCATCTTTTCCTTGTGCATCCTGATTGTGCTAATATGATCAAGTCTTGGCCATTTGTGATTTTGATCGACTCAACGTACAAGACAAACAAGTACAAGTTCCCACTGGTTGAGATGGCTCCAACGAACCAGAACTTTCTGATTGGTCATGCAATCATCAGGGATGAGACGGCTCCAAGTTATTATTGGGTGTTGGAGAAGCTGAGAAACTACATCGGGCCTAATGTTCATCCAGCAGCCATCGTCAGCGACTGTGAGGGAGGTCTCTTTGCCCCCATAGCAGAGCTGTTTCCCGAATCGAACCACTTATTGTGCACATGGCACATCAACAACTGCGTGAAAGTGAAAGCCTACAACCTTTTCAAGAAGAATTTGGAAATGGCAGAGAGATTGGTGAATGGTAAGTGGCGGAAGATCCTACAGGCTACCACAGAGGAAGCTTATTAGACTAATTATTTGCTAAACTCATATCCAACCATGAAAAGACATAAATCCAGTTCAATGTTCATCTATTTGCATAAGGAGAAAAACTTAAAACTTTTATGCAATTTTTGCTCCATCTATACAAATATAAAAACAGTTACACTTGTTCAAAGATAATAGTTTCTGTATGGATTCTTAAATGGGGGCTTGACGACCCTCATACTACTTAGTATCTAACCCGTACCTTAAAGAAAGGTGAATTTAGACATTAAGGATCCCAGTATCACCTGTTGTCAAGAAAACCTCCTCCAGATACTTGTTCATATACTTTTTGACATCCATATCTATGGTACATCTATCCTTATCGTTCTTATAATTTACCTTAGCATCGGAACATGTTTCCTTTACAAATGCTCGAGGGTAGCTAACATGTTCTCTCTTGCAACCTTCTAGCCCACTACTAAGAAAGACAGTACTTTTCCAAAATCGTCTCATCCTTATACCCTTGACTGAACAGCTTCTCTCTAAACCATATTATCACCATAAAAGGATACAAATTATAAATGAACTAGCAAACAAATACTAAGTACATAATCAAACCATCTAATTAACCAATAAGAAGTTGAATTATAGGCTTATAGCCCGTACATACTCCTGCTGTCCTAAATTAATTGTCACATTATAGAATTATTTGAAACATCAATATGACAACTAAATCAAAACCGAGGTATTTCGAAATGAATACCAAAACCTTCTCTTCTTTTATATTCCATTTTACAATCTTGCAAATTCAAAACACCACTCTACTCTAACATTTCCCAAAATAAGTTCCAAAATAAGAAAAATCTCTAGGGTTTTAGTAGTTAAAAAAACAAATAATTGCCCACAAATTAAAAAATAAAATAATTGAAGAAAATAAAAATTGAAATTGGCTAAAATTACCTTATCAAAAGGAAGCACAGAAGTAGTATGTAACTTGCGATTCAGGAAATCAGTAAAAGAGAGATTGGAACCACGTTTGTTCTTGTTTGAAAGTACACCTGACCCATCTGAATGATTGGTAGAGCTGTAATGAAATTAGGGTTCTTCAAAAAATACCCAAGTCACTGTGGCTGGGCGTCCTGCCCAGACGCCAGGCCGGTGGACGTGGCTGCCGGACCTGGCGCCACCACCAGCCACGGGCCGTCCTGGCCAGGCGCCCCAGCTGCCTTAATTTATTTATTTTTTAATTTTTTTTTATTTTTTTTTTTTTTGGAAAATCAGAAAAATTTTCTAATTTTTTTTTTAATGTGTTTGATTTTTTCTTTTAATTATTATTAATTTTATGTGTTATTTTTTATAAGTCTAGTATATATATTTTTTATAAAATCAAATAAAAAACATAAATTTCCACATCCTAAATCAAAACATAAATTTAATAAACATAATTTAAAAAAAAAAAAAAAGGCAAAAAAAAATAAAAAAATTAAAAAGTAAGGGCGGCGTCCAAACCAGACGCCAGTGCACTGGTGGTGGCGCCTGGCCTGGACGCCAGTGCACTGGTTGAGGCGCTTGGGCTAGACGCCAGTGCACTGGTTGTGGCGTCTGGCCTGGACGCCAGTGCACTGGTTGTGGCGCCTTGCCTGGACGTCCTTGCCATGGTTCCGGCGTCCAAACTAGGCGCCACCTCGTTTTCCGTCGAAGACGACGTATCTCCGGCGACCCTCGCCTCTTTGGCCTCCCTGGGCAACCCAGTACGACTCCACATTTGTTAGATCGAGATTTGTTCACTTTAGGTACGATTTTAGAAATGGGCAAAATTGTCAAACCATGTCTAATTTGTGGGCTTTATGTGGAGATTTGCGGGCGATGTTTAACAAATCCCTTCTTCTTTCTCCTCTCTTCTCTCCCTTAATTACTCATGGTCCTTCTTCTTCTCTCCCCATCTTATTTTCTCTCTCACGTCCTCTCTTTATCTTCTTCCCTTTATGCTCCCTTCTCCTCGCAAAGCCTCCCTTTGTTTTCTCTCTCCTCTTATCACCGGTCACTGCAACACCACCGAGGTACAGCAAAACACCAACCCACCACCGAGCAACTACCCACATCAACTTGCCTCATTAATTTTTTTTCAATTCTAAATTTAATTAGGTAAGTATTTAGATCTAGTTTTGATGTAGTTGTTCCTTTTTATTTTTTATTTTTTATGTTGGCTAGAATATGCATGTTTGCAAGTGGATGGTGGTGGAATCAGTGGCCGGTGGTGGAAGAGAGTAGCAAAAAATTATTAATTTATTTATTTTTGAGTTTTTTTTTTTAGATTCATATGCATGGTGGCATCAATGGCGGTGGTGGGCAGGTGGCGTCAGATGCGATGGTGGCGTCAGATGAGGTGGTGGCAGAATAGCAACAGTTGAATGATGTCATTTAAATGGGCAATGGGAAGCCCCCTAAGCCCAAGCGGTTCAAAACCGCTTGCCATTAAGGGGTTTGAATCGCTTGCCATTTACTTTTTTTAGAAGTGCCTATTTGTTAGTTTGCCCCTAGGCCCCTAAAATGTCATAAACGACCATGGCTCTAACACCTACTTGTTGCTGCACACCTTATCCTTAACCACACTCCATCGTTAACCTTCACGCACCATAACATCACTGCAAAATCTTCACCAACCTGAAACACCTTAAATCACCAATTTACCGCCACTCAACACCCCTTTTGTTTCATCACGCACCAAATAAAACCCATCACCAACTACAAACCAATCCCAACCAATATCATGCCACAGTCCCTAAACCTCACTACAACACTAACAAGCAGCAACATTGCTCTACCAACAAAACCGCCAATCAACTCCCCTACACTACTACAAAAGGAGCTATTTTTCGACGCTATTACTTCGACGCTACGGCTAGGGCGTCAACTTTAAATTATGATATCCGTGTTTCCTCGATGCTTTTTAGTGTCTAAAGTAATTTTAGACTATTTTTAGCGTCGAGAATACGGACATCTGCCCCGCACGTGAACTGAATCAGGTAAACCCACGAATTAAAATACCACCCAATGTCACAAACCCGGAAACCCCCAACCGCCTCATATTCTCTTAACCCTAACTAATTTTTTTCCCTTCATTCGATCTGAATTCTACACAAATTCATGGTGTCATGGCTTAGATTTCGAATTCAGATCTCATTTCCCCTTGTGTTTCTCATTATTCTATCACAATAATTGATATATTTTGCCGAAAATAATTGTCTTCCTCTCAGATCTGATGGTTTGCGTTGAAAATTGATATGCGATAGCTATTGTTCGTGTTCTCCTCAAAGGTTACATTTTTATATCACTCTTTGTTGATTTTTAACTTCTAATAGTACTTCTTTCAATTTCTGTGTGAGTTTAATTGATACTTGCAAGTTGCAATTACCCAATTTTACTCGTTTCAAAACCCTAGGTTATAGATCTTGTTGAACCACTATTTCTTCAATTAAAACTCTTATTGGATTTCAAATGTAAAGATCTTTTTTATTACGGTATTAAAAGCTTGACATTGAAATTTCTTGTTTATTAGAGAAAAAAATAAAAAAAAATCAAATTACTCTTATTGGAGCAGAGTCGAATGGTTAATAGGGTTAGAGATTATATCGTGGAGCTAAAGAAACTCCTGGAAAGAAGAGCTTGTATGGAACTAATTAATGGTGATATATTGATTGCTTTATTGTTTTCACTGGTTTTGAATGATTTTGATGATAATATTATGAAGTTGTTGGCAGGGCATTGCAGTTGGATGCTAATTAAGCACAGCTGATCTTGACGAACTATATTGGTCCTCAGTATGAAATAGAGTATACTGGTCTTCAGTATGAAATAGAGACACGAACTACGGTAAGTTTACTCAAAACATGAGAATTATTAATCCATTATAGCTAGGAAAGTAATGAGATAATTATAAGTTCAAAATTGCACAATTAAGTTGTGTACTATACTTGCTATGAGCTTTTGTTTTGCTTACTGTTGTTTTTCAAATATTTGATTTTTTTTATCAAGTTATTAATTATCCTTGTTGTTGAGTGGTATGGCGGTATTTTTTTGTCCATGTTTCTCTTGATTTATTCTACTTCTTATGCCTAGAGTTGAAATATTTAAAATAGACTCTAAAATGGTTGTATTGTTGTAAACGTTTGATTACATTTGGACCTTTTTGAAACCTTGTTTGTGATAGAGACTTACTAGTTCTTTTAATTAAAAATTTATGAATTCAAATGAATTTAGTTTTAATTACCATACTGGTTATGTGAATACTTCTAGTTTAGCTCCCAGGATGAGGTTAGTCAGTTAAAATGTCTCAATTTAAAAGTGACACTTAGCCTTACCTTGGCAATTGCAGTGAGACTATTCCAACTCTACACATTCTTTTTATTTCTGGCTGTGTAGGTGTTTTATATTTTGTTGCTGGTAATATTACCATGGTTTGGAGTTTTTTTTATATGTCGCAGCTATGTATTGTTGATGATGTTATTTTACCATTGTCCTGCAGTTGCAGTAATGTTCATCCCAAAAATTATAGATCTACAGTCATTTTTAGCCTCTAATCCCTTCATGAAAGTTATAGATCTAAAAAAGTCATCCAATTTAGGCTCAAGAATCTCTCAATTTGGAATTGTGTGCTAGGAGTTATGCCTTCTGGAAATTTTGTGGTATTCTGGCTTGATTCTATCGCTGCGGGGCTGTTATATTTACTTGATGCCTGTGTGTGTGGGTTTTTTCCCTGTAGTTGGGTGGGCTTGCTAAAATGAATACATTGGCTTCTCTTATTTGTTTTAATCTGATTTTCCTCTAATTAATTATATATTAGTTTAAAGAAGTACGGTTGTGTTCTTGCATTGTAAGCAAATGCTTGATTTGAATATGAAGTGAATGGCTTTAACAGGGGAAGGATTCGTTACATTTTTGTAATTTTTTCAGCTAGAGGTGTATGCTTAATTGGGTTCTTCACAAGTTTATCAAACCCACCAATGTATTATTAGAAAAAATTGCAGGTTGATTTCTATTTTCTAATTATCAACTTATGTATCTAAACATAATAATATAAAATGAGTTAACTACTATCAACTAGTGAACTCTTAATAAAATAGATAGTTAAATCGTGTGTTGAGTCTATAATTAATGATGCGTGATGATTGATTATTAGTAGCATGTTAGGGATTTCTTTTATTTCGTAGCTTGTATGTACTCAGCGTTGCTGATTGCGTGCTTTTGTGTGTCTTTCTTTGGTCATAGCCTTCGCCTTCCAATGACCCTGTGACGATCCAATTTTTACACTTGTAATAGGGGAGCAGATTAACCGCAGATTCTTACACATGCAGCATTCACATCAGGGTTGTGGGATTTTGAGTGGAGAGTTGGTTATTGTCCGCTGTTTATTTCTTTTGCAAGTTTGAATTTATTCTAACTCGGTTTTATTCTACACTACTTCTTCTGGTTTGAATTTATTTGAACTCTAGTTTTATTTACTTACTACTTTTGATAGGTTTTGAATAAGGGCCATAATAGTTCAAACTTGTAACACTTAATTTTGGTTTTATTTGTTGGTTTTGAAATTTACTTTTAACTGATGTAGTTTTTTTCGCTGCTAATTTCAGATATAGCTTTAACGTTTGAACACGTGGCGGTAGCACATCAGTAATTCTCTTGGATTTTGTTCAGGGTACTTACAGGTTTGAAGAGAGAATTATTGGGGTGTTACAAATCATGGATCCCCAAGAACCCTATAATTAAATTACTCGCACATAATTAAATCTAAACTAATCAAAACAATTAAAGAAAGCATGATTAAAAGCAACAAGAAATTGAATAAAGCATAATAATAATAATAATAATAATAATAATAATAATAATAATAATAATAATAATAATAATAAATTAATATGAAAGCAGTAAATTAAATAAAAGGAAAAGAAAGTTATGAAATCTAATTCATAAAATCTAAATAAACTAATAAAGGAACAAAAAGCTAAAACTAAAGACTAAAACTAATCTAAAATTTAAACTATGAGACCCAACTACCTACGTTCTACCTCCCTTTAATAGGAAAAGTCAAAATCACTGATCCCACTCAAAATGAAAGTATTGTAAAACACAAAGTTTCATATACGGCTGGCCATACGGTACGGCCAGCCATATATATATATATATATTTTATTTTATTTTAAAAATTCTTCTTCACTCTCCTCTTTTCTTCTCCCATCACCATTTTCTTCAGCAATACCTTGCCAACGTTCATACTTTTCGGCGACCACCCTCAGCCTCTTCGTCGCAACATCTCCTTTTCCCCCCAATTTTATTTCTCTCTCCTCTTTTTTCTTCAAACTTCATTAATGGTGTAGTCTTCTTAGCCCAAATTTCTTCAAACTTCAGTAATGGTTTACTATTGGAAATTAATGTTCTACGAAATTTATGTTGAATTCAAGCTTATTTGCAGAAGATTTTGATTATATAACTTGTAAGTTGTTCAATTTTATCACTTAATTTTTTGTTTAATTGAAGAACGAAGAATAAATTGTTTTCGTGGATAGTGGTGGTTTCGTGGGTGGGTAGTGGTGGTTTCGTGGTTATGGGTTCTCGATATGGTTTCGTTGGTGGTTTAGGTTGGTAGTGGTTCGTTGTTGGTGGTTGTTGGTGGTAGTTTTTTGTAGGTTGTGGGTAAGGGGTTACTAGGTCGGCGGTTAGGGGTTACTAGGCAGGGGGTTACTAGGTCAGTTAGGGGTTACTTGGGGTTACTAGATCGGGGGTTACTAGGTTGGTTAGGGGTTACTAGGTTAGTTAGGGGTTACTAGGTCGGGGGTTAATAGGTCGGTTAAGGGTTATTTGGGGTTACTAAGGGGTATTAGGTCAGGGGTTACTAGGTTAGTCATGGGTTATTAAGTCTGTCAGGGGTTACTTTTATCTTGGGCTTACTTTTGTAGGAGATAATAGGTACTAATTGCGAAATAAACATCAATCATATTCATACAGTACCTAATCCCAAGATCTAATGCATAACACATAAAGAACATATAATTGTACCTTTGAAGCGTGATTCCACGTGCGATCGAACAAGAACAAGGGAGACAAAGAACCTCAAGCGTGATTCCTCTACTTGGTCCACAAGCACAGATTAAGACCTCCACTAATGCTAGTTAGTTGCAATCGAACCCTTCAATTGACCTTCTATGGAGAAGAACGAGCAACGAACATATCACGAAGCACCACACGCGCCACTAGGATGGCCGGCCGTGAGTCCAAGGGAGGGGGGGAGGAGAGAGGCGTGAAACACAGAGAGAAAGACAGAGAGAGTGAGGGTTTTGGGATTACTGGTTGCTTAATGCATAATTGACTGTTAGTTATGTTGTATCATACAACCCTAGGCATGAACCTTATTTATAGATCTCATCTCTAAATAAGAGTCCATGACAAAGCCTAAAAGCTAACTCTAATCTAACTATGCTAGCCCAATCCAATTCATGATTAGTTACTTGTTCATGAGGCCCATAAATGGGCCTCTAACTTGCTTAACCCAATACCTTTGTTGTGTGACCTCATAGGATCCATTCTAGTGGGCTTTGGATTATTTGACTAGCCCAAAGATCAATGATCATAGTCTAGCAACAGATAATTATGACCCAAAAGAAAGAATATTATCTCCATAATAGTGATCCTTGATATATATAGTAATTGCACTTATCGATGACAAAACTCCTTCAATCTCCCACTTGTCTGAGACAAGTGCACAATATTCAAATTCCTTAAGTCAATGTGTGTCGATTTGATGATATGATTGCATCTTATGTCTTGATCATATTAATCTACAAACCTTTTCTTGAGAAACTGAGTTTGAATTACAAAACAAATTATTACTATGTAATTCATTTGAGCACGGCCATGCATTTTCTGAATTCTCCCTCCTCAAGGGGACAAGACACATTCCTAACTAAATAGGTAGACTCAATCCAATCTTGTGGCAACTAAGGCTCCCACTCAAATCATGAGGTAACAAGGAAACACCCTTTATAATCTCCAGTTACGGGAAGACGTTTGAATGTACACAGTTACATCAATCATTAAATGAAATCAATTCCACTCATGTAAAAGGAATCCACTAATATATCCAGAAGCTCTATACTTGAGCTTCAAAGTAGGTCTATAGTTCGATCATGCCTCATTCATGCATATCCATGTGATTGACCAAGCTTCACTACGCTCCTATAGCCTAAGAAACTGCGCTATCCAATCAATCTTACATGCTAGTCCATTTATTGAAATCATTTATGTCCACTTTAATGATTTCGAACTAGGAACTTTAAATAATATATGAATTTAATTCACCTGTGGGGTTTCATTCACCAGCTCATCAACCTGATGAGCCCATCAATTAATAATTATTTTGGACATTTTATTTAATATCGAAAACCATAATTAAATAAGATTGAAATTTTTGTTTCAATTGATAAACATAAATTTGCAAGTTAATGTATTACTTATGTGACATGTTTTCTTAAAACATACACAACTTAAATTACATAACTTGCTTCAATCCAAGAATCTTAGTATGACTCTCATACCTTAGTCATGGAAGGGGTTTAGTAAGTAGTGTTCATGAGACATTCTCATAAATATGAATTTTGCAATTTATAAATTTTATAATAATATTCACCTCCATACACTAAGAATTGTCCTTTGCCCCTTTCGCAAGGAACTTAGGAATTTCTAGTTTGTATTCCAACGTTACATTGGATTACGATTGAAATCTATCATCACTTGTTCTTAAAACATGTGAATCAAATAGACGAGTATAGTCCATGACATGCATGATGCATCATATCCTTTGCAAAATGCATAAGTAGAATCACTCAAAACCTTAATTTCATCAACCTTTCTCAAAGTATTGAAACATTAAGAAATGTGCCATGTTACATGTGATTGAAACTACTTTCAATTTTATGTTGAACACTATAAGAATCTTATCAATATTAAGTTTCTTAACTAAGCTCAAACATCCTTCGAGACCTATCTATATAGATCTTGAATCCCAAATGTACTCATCTTCTTCTTCAAGGTTTTCATACAAAATGCATTAGCAATCACTTGACCCTTCAAGAAATGAATAATTGCTCTTTGTACTAGACCAAAAAAACTTCATAGCTCCCAGTAAACATCTTGTATACATGACATATTCATTTTATGAGAACATCAAACAATTTTGATGAACTCACAAAATTAAGAACATTAACTCCCTGATGCTAACTTCAATCCATTAAGGATCTTTTATGCATCCCTAGTATAATTGTTTTTCAAAACCATTATGATTGTATCGCATACAAATCTTCTTTCATGAACAATTTTAAGAAAGTGTTTTGAAATCCATCTACCAAATCTTATAAGGTAGAAATCACTAAAATATATTTAATAGATCTTTGCAAAATGACTAATGTAAAGGTTTCATCGTAGTCATAGTCATACTATGAATTAGTTGAATCCTTTAACAAGTCTTTGCTTTAGTTAGAAAACATTTTCCTATCTTGTCTGTTTTGCTTATAATGGGTCTCACCCAATTAGGCAAATTATTCAAGTGTCATATACTTGCTTACAGACTTATAATCTATTTCAGATTTCCTGGTTTTTAAACCACTTGGAGTTATAACTTGTCAAATAATCTTTGTTACTTGCATAATCATCATGTTCCAAAATGAATGTTTTAGAACTCTTAATCAATATGAAATCATATTTCTTTGACTAAGTTTTACATATGCTAGTTATCATTGTGGATTTTACGCAACAATTGAAACTCATACAACAACTTTGTTTAACTTTCAATGAGAAACGACAATTAAGGATGTGCACTTGGAATGTAATACCTTCGACACATGGTTATCATTCCCATTACACTTAATGAGACCACGCGTTGTCATTTGTAACATGAGGTGAATTATGCTCATATTGTTGCTTTTATTCAAATACTTCTCGAATGTTCTTCAAGATTTTAGAATTCACATTTCTTGAACTTTTCAAAGCTCTCAAACTTTTCGAGGTTCTTATACTCCCACTTGCCTTTTGAAGAGGCATATTCAGCATTGGGTGAACCAACCTTGGTTTGAACCATGTTTTTTTGTTGCTTTTCTCGAACTCTTTTGAGAATTATACTACTCCCACTTGACCTTTTGGAACAATTTCCACAAGGGCACTTACTTGAGCAACAAA